ATTAATGCACAGTGCCACACCAGGACTCCTATAATCAGGTAGATCATCAGAATTATTGATTTCTTCTCTTACATATTTAAATGTATTCTTGTGAACTAGAAAATGGAAACTGAAAATATACCATTATACCAAATGAATATATAAAACTAAACCAAGACATTAACTAGTATGTGTGGCTATCTGTGAAACTTTTTGTCTTGACTGGGTTCTCTGTTACTACTGCAATCACTTGTAAATCCTAAGGCAAGATCAAGAATGTAGTTTTGTAGCTTGGAATTGCCAGTTACGCAGAATCCTAAGGTCAAAATCATGACTAATAAAACCATGTATTATATTTGTGCTTGCATTTTCAAAACAAAAAGCTTTTGAAAGGAACACCACACATGTTTTGTTGTATGTGTGTGTGTTTAAAATTATTAACAAAAAAATTGTCCAATTATAAATAGGTATCTATGAAAATTAATTTTTTTTTCATTAAATTTAGCCTGTGATTTATTGGCAGATCAATAGACAAATAATGTGATTGACGTAATCCCTTTGTTGACTAAGCTTCTTTTGTTTCCTCATTAGGAAGAAGAGCGTGTTCCCTTTACCACCTGGGGAAAATGCATACGTATAGCCCTATGTGCAAGTGCTGTCTTTTTCTGGGTAAGAGTTTGACTTCTTTTTTTTTCTCTCTCTCTCTTTTAATATCTAATTTTAAATGCCAGAGAAACTCAGAGCACAGCCTGCAAAGGATATAGTCCTGTAGAGCTGTTCACAGAGAACTATTAAGCACCACCTGGAGCAACTCCTGAGGTTTCAAAATACCCTCATTTCTTCCTCATCTTTTCACAATGGTTATTTCATTTTCTTTCATCTCGTTTGTTTAGAATCAGATTAGTGTTTCAAGATTTTCTAGTTTCTGGTGAAGAGATCAAATGAATTCCATTAAGAATTCTAAAATTTCCAACAGCAACAAACAAAATAATGGCCAGGAATAGTCTCTAAAAAATGAACAGAAACTATCTAAGAAAATTTAAAACTACTGAGAGATGGGGAAAAGCCTTAAATAAATGAAAATATGGAATTTCTAAAATGTTGGGTCTTTTGAAATTAGTTTGGGATTATTGTTAATCAAGTTATGTTTGCAATATAATACTTTAGTGAGGGTTGAATTGACTCAAGAACAGAGAGGCAGATTAAAAAATAGGGCACGAAGCCCAGAAGTAGGCACCCATGTCAGCAATAATTCAATATATGAGAAGGCAGCATTGTAGATCAGTTGGATAAGTAAAGATCATTCAGTAAATAGCAATGGAGTGCTTTGGGGGAGAGGGGAGTTTAAAACTGCACCATAAGGCACACACCAAATTAAAATTCAGAAACATTAAATAAATGTAAAACTGTAAAGATCTAGAATAAAATATTGTTGGATATATGATTTCTAGATTTGGAATGTCTTTCTAAGCCTAACTGCAATAGATTGTATTTCAGAGAGAAATATTTAAAGGTTTCCATTTATCAGAAGTATCCTAAGTACAAACAAAACACCAGAAATAATATTTTTGGTACATGAAGCATCTCGATCACCCGTAAAATAACACCAAAGATCTCAGTAGCTACAGAGGCAGAGAGTATGAATAGACAGCCTCAAAAGAACCAATACAGTAGCCAGTAAACATGGAGGGGGTAGGGGTGGGGAATAATGTCACCTCAGTAGTCATTCAATCACTGTATCTTAAAATAAGATATAATATTGCACCCTCAAATTAGCAACTGTGTTCAAATGCTAAGGCTCAGTGTCCATGAGAATGAAGTGCAGTGATTAGCTACTGTAATAGTTGTTGTTAGGTCATAATTGACCCTTGAGTCAATTCCAGCTCACAGTGATCCTAAGTGACAGAGTAGAACTGCCTTGTTGAGTTTCCTTAGCTGTCATCTTTCTAGGAGTAGGTCCCCAGGTCTTCCTTCCATGAAGCTCTAATCGATTCTAGAACTGCCAACCTTTCCGTTAGCAACTAAGCTCTTAATCACTGCACCACCAGGGCTCCTTTATTCTCTTAGTGTTGTTGTTAGGTGCCATCTAGTCAGTACAGACACATAACGACCCTGTGCACAACAGAGGGAAACACTGCCTGATCTCCCATCAACATCACAACCATTGCTATGTTTGAGCCCATGACTACTGCCACTGCCAATCCATCTCATTGGAGGTCTTCCTCTTTTTCTCCAACCCTCCTCTTTAACAAGCATAATGTCCTTCTCCAGAGATTGGTTCCTTTTGATATGTCCCAAGCATGAGAGACCAAGTCTGGCCATCCTAGCTTCCAAGGAGTATTCTGGCTATACTTCTAACACAGATTGGTTTGTTCTTTTGGCAGTCCATGGTACTTTTAATATTCTCCTCCAATACCATAACTCAGATGCATCAACTCTTTTATAGTCTTCCTTATTCACTGTCCAATTTTCGCATAAAGTGATTGAAAATATCATGGATTGAAGGGTCAGGAATGCCTTAGTCCTCAAACTGACATCTTTGTTCTTGAACACTTCAAAGAGGTCTTGTACAGCAGATTTGCCTAATGTAATATGTCGTTTAATTTCTTGATTGCTACTTCCATGAGTGTTGATGGTTGATCCAAGCAAAATGAAGTATGTGACAACTTCAGTCTTTTCTCCATTTATAAATGGACGCTATTCTCTTAGTAGGCTATTGGAATTTGACACTGCTCCAGGCTTCTTGAATGAGTTTTACAGCTCTAATCAAGGGCCTTAGAAATATTCATATGCTTTAATCCACTAATCCAGTTTTTAGAAATCTCTAAACAGGAAATATTTTTAAATGGTCAAGAAAAATTTATGCACAGATATATTTATCATAGTGTTGTTAAGTGTTTTCAAGTCACTCTGACTTATAGCAACCCTATATGGGGCTTCTGAGGAGTGGCTGGTGAGTTTGAACCACTGAATTTGTGGTTAGCAGTACAGTGCTTATCCTACAGTGCTACATGAGACTCTGTTTATCACATTTTTATGTATAATATATATGTTCACACAAAAAACAGCCAAAAAACCTACTTTCAAACACGTCAGTACAGTAGAGTGTTGTACAGCCATGAAAAAGTGTGTTCATGAAAAGATTTTGTGCGTGTTCAACATTCAAAAATGGGGGTGGCAGTGGGGACAAGGGAAAATTCACACAAACTACAGGGCTAAAGACAGAGAAAGAGGTGTTCCCTAAAATAAAACCTCGGCCCTCCTCTAGGATGGGGATTAGACTCAGGGCAGCAAAGGCAACCAATGTCTACTACAACATGCTTTTAAGTGTTCTATAGTAAGCATGTATTAACATTATAATCAGAAAAGTATACTGAAGATATCATCACCTCTGAAACTTGGGGAGAGTGAATGAAAACACTAATTGCCTCCTATAAAGAAATATCAAGTGTGTTGATACTTTAAAAGAGGCAGTTTGTAAAAGGACTGAAGTGAACTGGATTCAGTCTACACCACATGGGCAGCAGTGCCATACAAGGGTTTGTGAGCCTATTGACAGACTTGAGAATCCCAGTTCTTTTACTACTGTCCACTTAATCTTAGGCAAATTGCTTCATCGCTTTGAGTCCCTATTTCTTTATCTATAAAAGAGAGAATTGTTGTGGAGATTAAAAAAGAGTGAGCTGAAAGTTAACTATTATAATTACGTAATAGTTATAAAAATTATTATAGAAGGTGCCTCTGGACAAGATGGCAGAGTAGGCAGATGTGCTGACCAGACCCTCTGCAACAAAAGCACAGGAGATCAAGTGAACCCAATAAAAATGGTGATTCTGGAACCTTGAGCTTCAGAAGACAAGATAGAGAGGTGGGTTGAGTGCCAACAGGAAGAGGAAAGTGAACCACAGTGGCACACAAGAGAGAAGAAAAATGAGTGGGCTGTCACCTGGCCTGCAACGATGTGCTCATGTTGAGCTGTTGCAGGTAGCTGTCCATACAGCAGCGTGGAGGCACAGGATGAGCTGGAGGTTGGAGGCAAGGGAAAGGGGTGAGCAATATGGTTCTCCCTTGTTTCCATACCCTCCTTGAAGCAGGGGGCTTGGCCAGTCTCCGTTCTCACCAATCCAGCGACCAATGGCACCCCTTCTGCGCAGGCTCTGCTCTGCCTGGCATCAGTTGCCAGGCACACCACCCCTGCTTCTGCAAGGGTATGAACCCACCCTGAACTGTCTTACACAAACAGTAAACAGAGAACTGAATTCATACTTTCAGGCTCTATCATATCCACTAGGAGACAGGTGATAGGTGCCTGAGAACACACCAACATACAATCATAAATATAAGTACAAGACCACAATGTCTCAGAGAAAAAGGACAGTTTTAGCTTACACAAAGAAACAAGACAGCATATTTCAAATAAGTCACCAAAGTATAGAATTAGAAAATATGATATAAGAAATGGTTTCAGAACTACTTGATAAGGAATTTAAAAGAATGATATTTGGGTTCCTTCAATAGATTGAGAGAATGATCAAGAAAACTGCTGACAAAATCAAGAAAAATGCAGGTGAAACTTTAGGAGAATTCAGGAAAATACTATAACAACCAATTGACAAATGAAAATTGGAAACCATACAAAAACATCAATTAGAAAACCAGAAGATTAATACTAAGACTTCAGAAATTGATAATAAATTGAAAGGACAAAGAAATACAGTTGAATCAATGGAAGTCTAAATTAGTAAACTTGAAGACAGATTTCTCACTCTTCATCATAAGTCTAAAATGTATGTGGGGCATCATCAAGAGTAATAACTTACATGTGACTGGAATTCTAGAACAAGAAGAGACAAAAAAAAAAAAAAAAGAGAAAATTGTCAGAGTTGTTGGGAGAAAACTCTAATAGCAAGCATTATGAAAGATGAGAGGATACACATGCAAGAAGATGAATGAACTCCAAACAAGGTAGAACCCAAAAGAAAGTCACTAAGACATATTATAATCAAACTTTTCAAAACCAAAGACAAGGACAGAATCCTGACAGCCCCTCAGGGAATGAAAAGTTACAGGAGGACTAAGCTCTAATTTCTCAACAACAACCATGCTGGCAAGAAGACATATATAAAACTCTGAAAGAAAAAAACTGCCAACCAAGAAACATATATGCAGCAAACTTGTCCATCAAATATGACAGGCAAATTAGGACATTTCCAGATAAACAGAAATTAAAAGATGTTGTAAAAAACACACCAAACTTATAAAAAAAATATAAAGGGAGTTTTGGGACAGAGCGCCAACAACAGACAACAACCTAAGATTAGCATAAATGACAGTATCACCCAGAACTCAACCCAGATACAAAAGTATTCAAAGTAAAACAAACCTGTTGTTGTTGGGTGCCATCGAGTTGATACTGGCTCATACCAACTCTATGCACAACAGAACAAAATACTGCTTGTTCCTGTGCCAACCTCACAATTGTTGCTATGTTTGAGTCCATTGCTGCTACCACTGTGCGGATCCATCTCACAGGGGGAGCTTCCTCTGTTACTTCAACCCTCCACTTGACCAAGCATGATGTCCTCCTCCAGAGACTGGTCCCTCCTGATAATATGTCCCAAGTATGAAAGACAAAGTCTGGCTCTGTCATATCCTAACTACAAGGAACACTCTGGGTATACTTCTTCCAACACAGACTTGTCTGTTCTTCTGGCTGTCCATGGTACTTTTAATAGTCTCCTCCAACACTGTAACTCAAATGCATCACTTTTTCTATGGTCTTTCTTATTCAGTGTCCAACTTTCACATGCATATCAGGTTGTTGAAGATACCATGGTTTGAGTCAGGTGCACCTTAGTCCTCAAGCTGACATCTTTGTTCTTGAAAACAAACCTACAATGCTAAAAATAGGGAACTAGAGATACCAGTTTGCCACAACAACAAAAAACTATAAATAAAAACTGCAGTTCATTTAGCTACAGAACTTGCAAATGAAGCGGAAGTAAGTAGATATCAAGAAAAAACAAACAAAGATAAACCAACTGTAACCCTAAGGAGTGTGGTAGTTCTGTAGAATGGCACTGAACTGTGAACCACAAGGTCAGTGGTTCAAGCCTAGAGCAGAAAAAAGATAAAACTTAATGCTCCCGAAATTTTTACAATCTTGGAAACCTTATACAGGATTGCTATGAGTCAGAATCCACTTTACCACACTTAACAATTTAACTGTAACCTGAAATTAATCCTGGTGTGGCTCTGTAGGTTAAGCACTGGACTGCTAACCTCTAAGTCAACAGTTCAAACTCACCAGCTTCTCTTCAGAAACCAACTCAACAGCACTTAACAATAACAAAAAACTAGACCAATTCTTACTCCTAGCTCAAGCCCTACCTATAACACTAACTCTGGTCCTAACTAAAACCTTAATACTAAACAAAGCCCTACACCTAGCCATACTCCTAAGCCTAATTCCTTACTCTTATCCCCTGCAAAAAAAGAAATGTTAAAAATTATTATAGAGATAAATTTAAAAATATATTTAAATGACCTTGTGGTGAGAGTAGAAGATTCTGTATACCTGCTCTAATACATTTTCCTCAACATTAGCTAATTTTCACGTACACTCAACACACATCCTAAATATATTCAGTTCACAAGTATTAAGCCTTAGCTGTGAAGGAAGAGAGATTACAGGGAAAATAGATTGCCTTCTTTACAATCTGCTTAAAAAGTAAGAAAAATATCCTTCTAACACTTTGGAGTCCTATTGTGGTGCTGTACAATAAGCACTGGATTGTCAACCTCAAGGTCAGCAGTTCAAACCTACCAGCTGCTCCTCAGAAACCCTATACAGGGTCTGTATGACTTGGAACCTACTCGAGGGCACTTAACAACTCTACTTTGGTTCACAATCAGACCCATTGTGCTTTTCATATTTTGTTAAGTGCTGCTGAGTCAGTTTCGACTCAGTGACACCGTATAGGGTTTCGGATTTTCTTGATAGGAGCAGAAACCCTCAACTTTCTCTCAAGCCGCAACTGGTGGATTTGAACCACCAACCCCACAGTTAACAGCCCAACTTGTAGAGATAGACATTTAACTATCAAGCAATTCTATAAACTAGGTGCTAGTACTTTTTTCCATTGTGGTGGTGTGGGAAGCCATCAAATCAACTCCGACTCCTAATAATCCTATATGACTGAGTAGAACTGCCCTTAGGGTTTTCTTGGCTCTGATCATTTCAGACATTACCGAAGCTGACAGCCAGGTCCTTTTCCCATGAAGCCACCGGGTGGGTTCAAACCACCAACCTTTCGGTTTGCTGCCAAGCCTTAATTGTTTGTACCATCAGGGCTCCTTTTACCCACTGTACAGAGGAGGAAATAAACACTTCACAAGATTAAGTAATTCAGATGCTGGGGTCTGGCTCCCTTTACTGCTCTCCACAGGTAAAGAGAAGCCGGTGGGCTGTTTGTGAAAACCATATTATGTGACTTGCTTGGTCCTGAAACCTCCACACCTGGTAGCTTTTCTCTCCTGGCAGTTTGTATGTGTACATGGTGAAACCCAATGAGTACATGGTTCTGGAGTATGTCCAAGAAAGTATAAGGAAAACAATTTAAAAGTATAGAAAAAAAACAGCATTGTCTAATGGCCATACCTGTGTACCAGAATTAACAGAACTTCTAATGTGCATTGTTCAGTGGCCAGAGAAAGCCTGCCTATCAAGGAAGTAAAAATCTGCCATGTGTAAAGTTGGCTTCAGACACCCCCTACAGAAACTGGGGACTGTGCTATCAGTATTACCATGGATTAGTGAAATGAATCTGCAGGTGTGGATGGCTGCCATTTAAGATCTGAATGTGAAAAGTATGAACCTTTATCAGTAGATCCTTTGCTCGTACCTAGAGTTAACTCAGACACCTCCTTGCCAGCCCACTTCTCTGGCCTTGTTCAGAATCTCACCTGCAACAGTGATTAAGACCATAGCTAACACCTGCTGATACTTGAACCCGTTAAAGCTTCTCTATAAGAAGGAAACCTATTCCCTGAATAGATTATAAGTCAGGAAAAACACACTAATTCATAACCTAAATAACGCAGTAATTGTAGAAAAGATGTTTTCACTGGAGCTGCTATATCAGACACATTTCCTTCGACCAGAACAGGATCTCAGGTATTCTATGTTTACCCTGTCTGAAGATATGAATGCATTCTCTTCTGACTTCCATCATTGTTCCACCACTCTTGTGGCACTTAGGTGAGATTGACGTCACATTACACACGCACCTTGTCTGTTTCAGCATGGGCCCAGTTTTTAACATGCTCGCTGGTGAGTCTCATGCTGCTGTGTTTTATTTATTGTGCTTTCAGATCCTGTTGATCATTGCTTCAGTTATTGGGATCATTGTCTACAGGCTCTCGGTGTTCATTGTGTTTTCTGCAAAAATTCCCAAGCACTTTAATGGAACAGACCCAATCCAGAAGTATTTGACTCCACAGACAGCCACGTCCATCACTGCTTCCATCATCAGCTTTATCATTATCATGATTCTGAACACCATATATGAGAAAGTGGCAATAATGATTACTAACTTTGGTAAGCTCCTACTGTTGTTGTTATTGTATGCCATCAGGTTGATTCTGACTCCTAACAACCCATGTGACAGAGTAGAGTTGCCCCTTAAGCTTTTCTTGATTATGAACTTTATAGAAGCAGATTCCCAGTTCTTTCTCCCCCTGAGCAGCTGGGTTGGTTCAAATTGCCATCTTTTTTGCTTGACTGCCAGGTGGTTAACCGTTGTACCACCAGGGCTCCTTTAGGTCCTACTATAGCTATAAAATTTTTCTAATTTTGTGTGCCTGGTAAAAATATAGACTGTATTTTTGAGGCATTTCAATTCCAGTATGTTCCATATTTTAGGAATTTCTAAATGTAAACATATTTTTTCTAGCCTGTATAGAAAATTAATTATACACAGCTTTGCATAGTAAAGGGACAAAGTAAAGACAATCATTATAATGTCCAAGCTCTGTGTAAACAGATCAGTACTGAATAATATTTTCAATTACATTAGCTCATGTACCCTATTGTTGAAAGTAAATAGTCTCTTTATTGCAAATAAGTGAAATAGGGTCACGGCTCTAGTAGCAAATATGTTCCTCTGTTGCTGAGAGGACAAGCAATCACATTGTTGCGTGTCTTCCCCCATGCTGTTCATATTAATATAGCTCCATTCTCATCAGTTCTGGCTTTTGTAATAAGTGTTTCTTCTCGCTGGCTTGTTTCCCAGGCAGCTGTATAGTGGCTAAAGTTAAGTGCTTCCCACACCCTGTCCAGCTCATTCCCTGAATGGTCTGCTTAATGGTCTTTTAGAAATGGTCAAACCAATTCAAATTCCAAACTCGGAAGATAAACTGTCTTGTCTTCCCCAAATGTTTCTAGCAAGTCGAATTTCTTTTCTTTTTTTTCTTTTTGTATTGTTTTGTTTCCATCAACAGAACTGTCTTATTTTGATTCAAAAAGACAAGAGAATATGATTTAACAGACTGTTCAGAAATAGATTTCTGTCAATCTGGACTTGAGAGAAGGCAGTTCTGACCCAGTTGATTACATTGTATTTATACATTTTAAGGAACAATTGAACATTTTTTTTGCCACGTGGGAAATTCATAGGGAGAAAAAAAACCAAACTCATAACAATGTGCAAACTTAGAATTAACACAGTAGCTATATTAAGGAATTCAAAACAACTTAAATGGAAACAGTGTGAATTGGTTTTTTTTAACATGTTAACTCATGTATCAGTATCTTTGATTAGGGTCTGAAAGCTGTTTTAAATCTATCTTTGTTTTAACTGCAGAACTCCCAAGGACCCAGACGGATTATGAAAACAGCCTCACAATGAAGATGTTCTTGTTCCAGTTTGTCAACTACTACTCTTCATGTTTCTACATAGCATTCTTTAAGGGCAAATTTGTGGGTTATCCAGGAGACCCAGTATATTGGCTGGGAAAATACAGAAATGAAGAGGTGTGAATCTACAATTATAGTCTCATGATAATTTAATCTACTTTGTGTTTTCTCTCAACTGCTTAATGAATAGTTTCTTCGCTAGATTTTCTATTTTAGCCTAGATGGAAGAATAAATATCAGAAAAAATGAAATGATGAAATTAATGAATTTCTTTCAAGTTAGGTCCATTTCAAATTTAAATGGGATTTTCTTTTTTTGAAATTGCAGTGTGATCCAGGCGGCTGTCTCCTTGAACTGACAACTCAGCTGACAATAATAATGGGAGGGAAAGCAATCTGGAATAATATACAAGAAGTATTACTTCCGTGAGTATTATGTTGTATAAACTTGGGAGAAACATGTGGCTTTCTGTTCCCTCAAAAATTTACCACTTCAGAAACCCTACAGAGGGTCGCTATGACTCAGAACTGGCTCAATGGCAACAATCATCTTGGGAGAATAAGGCTAGGGATAGATCATCCCACCCATCGAAATTATTTGCTGCCCAACTCTAAAATGGATTTGCGTCTATAGTTTTTAAAGGTCTCCAGACTAGATTTAGTCACTGAAAACTTTATGAATAGCAGAGAAACACTGTCAGATATAGTGCCAGAAAATTAGCCCCTCAGGTTGGAAGATACTCAAAATGCGACTGGGGAAGAGCTGCCTCCTCAAAGTAGAGTTGACTGTGATGATGCAAATGGAGTAAAGTCCATGCGAGAAAACTCCGCAGGACCTTCATTTGCTGATGGGACACAACTCAAAATGAAGAGAAACAGCTGTAAACATCCACTGAAAATCGGAACATGGAATGTACAAAGTATGAATCTGGGAAAATTGGAAGTTGTCAAAAATGAAATGGGACACATAAACATCCAGATCTTAGGCATTAGTGAGCTGAAATGGACTG